CACATGATACCTGAGCAGAGGTAACCAGCCACATAGCAGAATGTAGATTAGTATAAATGGGTTATTTTTTAAGTTACGAAATAGTCAGAAAAGAGAGTAGCTGTATGTCCTAGGTATTTGTAAATATATTTTGATTTTCATGAGTCATTATTCCAGGAGCTTGGGGCCAGGAAGAAAAACATGTGCCCTATAACAAAAGCCAGTCTGGCTTATATAATAAATTCCAGGACAGCCAGAGATATATAACAGAGAAAACTCATGTCTCAAAAAGATAAATAAAACAAAAGCAAAATACCTGTGATGTATTGGTCACGATGATAACAGTTGCCTAGCTACAGAATCCATTTTTGCTGACAGCATCAACTCTTCCCTTGAGCCTGTGCAGGTACCAACTTTTGACATCAGAAGGACAAAGTACCACCCCCACCTTACAGTAATGCAGCCATTTTGTGAATATGCATCTTATGAAAAATAAGCTAGACATGAGCCACCTTTAATCCAAACATTCAGAAAGCTGAGGCAGGTGGATCCCTATGAGTTCAAGGTATAGAGGGCAAGTTCTAGGCCAACTAAGGCTACATAGTAAGACCTATTTAAAGGAAAAAAGCCTGCTGGTCACTCTAGCCATGGAAGCAGAAGCAGGTAGGCTAACTGCAGATCTTTACCCCTCTCCTCCAAATCCAATCCTCCAGTCTCACCTCTAGCTCCACAGCAGCCCACCTGCTGTGGCCTCTCCTCACTCTCTATGCCCTTTCCCAGGGGACAAGCAGATCCTGGTGGAACACCTTACTCTCTTTTCTCCATGGACTTCCTCAGCAACCCCCCCCCTCTTAGCCCACCCCCATTGTCAGCTCCCAATACCTAGAAGCACAGTTGTGTCATTAAATCTTCACACAATAAACTTTAAATGGCATTATATATTATTTCTCAGGCACATTAAGAAAAATCGGTTGGAAAACAAACTAAAGGGTAGGCCATATGCCCTGCAGTTTATGGCTAACAGAAAACAAACTCAATGGCATCTTGTAGATTCTTTTTCTCATAATGTTGTGTAGGGGCTTTTAACTTTTTTGTCTTAACTTTTAAATTTATTTTTTATTTTTTTATTAATTACAATTCATTTTGTATCCCCCCAAACTTTTAAATTTTTAATTAATTAAAAATTTTACTTTTATTTCTCTGTCTATTTAAGCATACAACTCTTTTGGTTTTATATATATGGCTTCCAGTTGTGTGTTTTTATGGGATTCCTGAGTGTCTGAGTGGGTCTCTGCATCTATACCTGTTTCTTGTACCTTTTCTTGGGCTCTTTTGCTTCTGTTTGTTTTGTCCTATTCCAATGTGTTTCGGTTTGTCTTAACCTATTATATTTTATCTTATCTTTTAAAATCTGTTTTCTAAGGAGAAACAGAAAAGTAGTGGATCCTGATGGGAGGGGAGATGGGAAGGAGCAGGGAGGAGTAGAGGGAGGGGAGAAACAGTGATGAGGCTGATTATCTGAGAAAAAAAAAAACAACAACAAAAAACCTGTTTCAAAAAAGAAAATGTCCTTCATACTCCCAACTACATGGTCCTTAATCAACCTCTCCCAAACTTCCAAACTTCCAAACTTCAGATGCCTCTTAGAGAAATCCTCAGGGCTTATCCCAGTTCCCTTTCCAAGCACTAGTCCCACCAACCCAAAGGAAGCGATCATAGCAGGTCTAGGTTCAGGAGTGGACTTGTCACTAAACACTGTAATTTCAAAAGTAGAAACTGTCTTCCCAATCTCCTAAACTTGCCCTTATCTATTCATGTCAAAAATAAGGTCTTTGAGCAGAACCTGGTAGTGATCCCAACACTCTGGGAGGCAGAGGCAGGCAGGTCTTTATGAGTTCAAGGCCAGCCTAGTCTACAAAGCGAGTCCAGGACAGCCAAGGCTGTCCTCAAGTTGTCCTCTGATCTCCACATGTACATTGTGGCATGTGCCAACACAGACAGACACGTAATTTTTAATTTTTTTAAATACAAAAATGAAGTATGGTCTTTGTATTTCAAATGCACTCAAACATGCAAAAGTAAAAATAGGTGAGATGATTTCTTTCTTTCCTTTTTTTTTTTTTTATTAGAGAAGAGAAAGGGAGGGAGAAGGGGCCTTGAAAATTTGGGAATTCCTCCAAAGGAGAAGAGGACAGACAGTAAGGGCAGAGGCACCTCAAAGAGCAGGTTGACGAAATAAAACAAATGAGCATTGGCTGACTTTGCAGTGTTTTTCTATTCTATTGAGAGAATCTTGTACTGTGTAGTTACTTGCTTTATATCCACACTGGAAGTTAAACAAGCTTTTGGGAACCACTGGTCTGCCAGCCTGCTTTGATATTTAGATCTCAGTGGAAAGACTGCTTTCACCACGGCCTTCCAGTGATAGATTTCCAAGTGTATCTCCTTTTGTTTGAGACAGCAGGTGGGATGTCTTATCAAAGTCACACCTTTTGCTTGACTTCCTTGTGAATTTATTCATTGTGCTGAAGTGCTTTTGCTCTGGCTTAAAAGGAGTCTGGAATAAAGCAAGGCCTCCAGCTTCTACTAGAGCCTCTCAGAAAGGTTGCATGTGTTGTGTGTTGGTTTATTAATTTCAATCCTCACTCCCAATCAAGCACCGTTTGACTCTGCCGGCAGGCTCTGGCAGCAAGCATTTCTAGTGTGGTGGTTTAAATAACAATGGCTCCCATAGGACCATTTAAAGCTTAGTCATTAGAGAGTGACACTATTTGAGAAGGATTAGGAGGTGTGGCTTTGTTGGAGGAAAATATACCCCTGGGGGTAGTCTCTGAGGTTTCAAAAACCCACACTAGGCCCAGTACTACTCTCTCTGCCAGGATGTAGCTCTCAGCTACTGCCCCAGTACCTGCCTGCAAGCTGCCTTGCCGTAAAGGACTAGAGTGCTGAAACAGTAAGCCCCTAAGTAAATGCTTTCTCTTATTAGAGTTGCCTTGGTCATGGTGTCTCCTCACAGTACAACAGCGGCTGTGATATCTAGTAAACAAAGTGGCGAGACCGCTTAGCCTGTCTTCAGCCTAAGAAACCTCAAGTGAACACAGGCTGCCTAACGCAATAACCAGTGCTCTCACAACCCCGGACCTCAGGGCATCAGCCTGTAGTAAATAATACTACAGAATACTAATATGGTTACAGGAGCTACCATGCGCATTAAATAACAGCTAGACAGCTGGAAAAACATTAGCTCTAAGCGTTTCAGGCAGGCCAGTTCCAGAAGAGACTAGAATTTGAATCCATGTAAGGAAGAACTTAGCAGTCAAGATAAGTGTCATCCAATTGCTCAAGGCCAGAAAAAAACAAAACAAAACAAAACAAGGACAGAGACATGAGTACTTTCGCCTTTGACTGAGCCTCTCTATGAAGTGTCCTCATTAACTGGCTTGTTCCACAAGCCTATGTTATACTTAGCCTCCGAAACTGCATGTGTCAACCTCCTGTGATCCCAGCACTCAGGGAGGCAGAGGCAGGCAGAGTTTGAGCTTGAGGTCAGCCTGGTCTACAAAGTGAGTCCAGGACAGCCATGGCTACACAGAGAAACCCTGTCTCAAGACAAACAAAACCCCAGCACCTTTAATGCCTCTAGCTCAATCTCCAACTGACCTCATTTCACTTGCCAGATACCGTCTACAAAGTCTCTCGTCTGTCTGACCTGAGTCATACAAAGTCTCTCTTTAATTATTTTGAACCATCTGGAAGCTGTCAATGCCAGCTGCCCTAGTTTGCCCTCTCTTGCTGTGATAAAACATTGACCAAAACCAACTTGGGGAGGAAAAAGTTGATTTGGCTCCCAGGTTACACTCCAGCAAGGAAAACCAAGAACTGAAGCAGGGGCCATGGAGGAACTCTGCTTATGGCTTGCTCCCAGGCTCAGGTTCAGCTACCGTTCTTACATACCCTCAGCCCACTGGCCTCCTAACGGCACCACCCACAGTGAGCTGGGCCCTCCTCCATCAGTTAGGAATCAAGAACATGTTCCACAGACGTGCCTAGGGCCCAGCCCAGTGGAGGCAATTCCTCAGTTAGGTTCTCTCTTCCTGGGTGTGCCAAGCTGAGAGCAGAAGCCAACCATGACACAGCTGAAAACATTTCAGTCCATCCGATGTCGACCGTCCACGTCACTTAGCATCATCTGAATCACTATACACGTTACCGAAGTCTCCCCTGAGCCACAGTGTTAGCTGGGGGAGCAAGGACCGATGACTACTTCGCTCATGTCTCTAACCTTCGAAACTGTCTCAAGATCGGGAAGTCTTCAGTCATTTAGTTTTAAAATCCACTCACATCCACCTAACATACATTTATATATGTATGTATATACATATTTATAATATATACATATATTACATGCATTACATATAAAACATGTATTATATAAAACATTATATACACTCATATTCAACTAAGTAATAATTATTTATATGTATCAACAGGGACTAAGACAATTTTTCTATCTACTGAGGCAGGACCATCATTGGCTTTATTTTCTCTGCATAGTAAGATGATTCTGGAAACCAGCTTTCTCTGCTGGAGACCCCAACATAGCATTGCCGGCCTCCCACATTTCCCTAGAGCAATGGTTCTCAACCTTCCTGACACTGCAGCCCTTAGTACAGTTCCTCATGTTGTGGGGACCCCCAGCCATAAAATTGTGTTGCTACTTCATAACTGCAATTTTGCGACTGTTATGAACTGTAATGTAATTATTTTCGAAGATAGAGGTTTGCCAAAGAGGTGGAGACCCACAGGTTGAGAACCAGTGCCCTAATGAACAGTTTTGCTGTAAATCTGGATTTGCAGACATAGCCTGAGTCAGGTGTACCATCCCTGGCCCAAGCAACTGTAGCCTGCCAACAAATGGTTTTCGGCTTCTCAGGGGCAATCTGCTCAAAGATAAAACTATTCATGATCACTTGTTAAAGTTAGACATATTCAAACTTTAAAAATGTTTAAACTTGGAAGGATTCCACCGAGAAAACTACTTCATTTTAATAACCATATTCAAGGGAGTCTTTAATTAACATTTGGCAGAATTCATTTAGATTCCATCAATGGAGTTTCTAACAGTCCCATTAGACATCAATTCCTTCAGCAATTTAATAGCACAGGCATTAAAAAAGTGGACTCAAAACAAGAAAATCTTCCCCTATGTTGAAATCTGAATTAACATAATAAATTAAACATAAATGACTAAGTTCTCAGCAACATTCCATTATTTTTGCATCAATGGTAAAATATAAAATGCTTCCCAACTAAAATCCGCAAGTCTAAAAATTGATTAGGCATTTGACTTTGAGGCCAACATTACATTGAAACACTTCACTAAGCAAGTAAACACTTCCAAATAATATAAAAACAACTCCAGAGCTGGGTGTGATGGTGCACACCTTTAGTCCCAGCGCTCAGAAGGCAGAGGCATGTGGATCTCTGTGAGGCCAGTCTAGTCTATAGAGAGTTCCAGGACAGCCATGGCTACACAGAAACCCTGTCTCAAAAAAACAAAAAACAAACAAACAAACAAAACCCAACCAACTCCCGAACATTTTGAGGACTGTAGGAAAGACTTCCGAATCCTTGTAAGGGTTTGTTCACTATGCATTTTACACGGAGCTGCAGCATTCTCAAGTCTAAGGGAATGAATAACTAGGGCTCTGCGCAGGCCAGCCCAGTGCAGGAATAAGGAACTCAAGCTTGGGGAGTCGAGTGTTAAAAGAGAATTAATGTTAGATGGATAGCTGTGCTAAGAATTAAATGAAATGAGGACCAGGAAATGCCCCAGAGTGGCACAGGAGACAACAGCTACAGCTTCAATAGAATCACAACTGCTGGTGTAAGCTCCCTCCCTGCATACCTAAGATTTACTTAAATAGTTTTATTTAAGTAAATCAACCTTCTCAACCTAAAAGTAGAGGCTCTCATTTTTGACTAGTGTTGTAACTACTCAAAGACACAAACTCCGGTTTCTCACAAGCCATTGTACTTCAGCTCACTAAAGGACACTGGCCCCATTGCTTAGTGGTGTCCACACTAGAACGTTCTGGACCTATCCCTCTTCCTTGTGCTTTAAGGAAACCTAAATTTATAAAGCTGAGATTATGAGGCAGACTCTCATTACAATATCTGTCCCCAAGGAATCCTTTAGCTCAAGATGCGGTCAGCAGACACATAACCTAGGAGGGTCACTGAAGGAAGGCAGGGGGTAACAGCTGTGGAACTGGTGCACTGGTCCAATTAACTGACACACCTCAGAAAGCCAAGAAAAAGAATCTCTTTATAAAAAAATATGATTTATAGTGAACGTCCAGAAACCCAAATTGTAAAGCAAATTGCTGTGGTTTGAGGTTCTCTGAGGTTCCGACCCACAAAGTGAAGAGAGAAAAAGAAGAGTGAGTGCAGATGGAGAGTCAAGACAGAGGCCACACACAAGACACACTCCAAACACACGCAGACTGAGGAAAGGCCAGCTCCTGTCACAGAACAGGAGCACGGTGGAGATGGAAGACAGGCAGCACACTGACAGGAGGGGAGGCTGGGCCGCTCAGCTCTCTCCGGGCTTTGTTCTGATTAGCAGAGACAGGCAAAACCAAAGAAAACACTGGTGGAGAGCACAATTTGTAGGAAACAAAACAGACTTATCCCACCCTAAATATGCTTCCAGGGGCAACACTCAGTGTTCTGCCACACTTGGAAGACAGTCCCACAAGCAGCTGATGAGAACATGGGACTCAGGACTTCAAAGACACCAGCAAGAGGGACAGACAGTTCCCGAGGCCACTGAGCACAGCAAAGAATGTTCTGTTGTTGCTGTTTGTTCTTGATATTTTCCAGGCCATAAGTAGAAAGCAAAATATAACCAAGGTTCTGTTCACTTGGCTCCATTTGGAATCGTCTCCGTAAGAGGCCCCACAGCCCTGAGGGGTCATCAAGGTCAGTATCAACTCATCCAAGGTCGACAGACACTGTGACCAGTACAACTAGGATCTTCTAGCTGAAGATGCCACAAAACAAATCAATACACAGAAAATCACGTCTTGAAACAGGTACTTAATTCCTAATTCTAATTAATCCAGTCTCTTCCATAAAGCTTCTGTAAATTATCTTTTTGAGTGTTTTGAAGACTCTTTCTTCTCAGTAATTAATAAGGTGGAGCACTCCCCGTTAGGAGCTCTTGCTGTGTCATGGGGCTGACCCGCTGACTGTCTTCTCTGGAAGTTCGGCAGGCTCGTGCTCCGCCACGGAGGTGCCATCACTCCTGGTCATGGCAGCAAACAGCATGTCCATCATCCCCAGGGTCTCCAGGAGTTCTCTTTGGTAATCAATTTCTTTCTCTACAAGTCCTTGAAGTACTATAAACTTTTTATCAACTACTGATGACTGGCCAATCACTGGCAGATATATATCTAAAAAGGGACAGAAAATACATTAACTAGAAACATTTTCTGTAAGTGAAATCAATATTTAGAAAAGGTATGGTATTAATATAATAAAGACAGTGAATATCAGTATTTTTAATAACTCATTTGTTACTCATAAGAAGATATAACAAAAAAAGATATAACAATACATCTTATTAAACACATTTGGAAAAGAAATAATTACACAAAATACAGAGTAGGGGGTCTTTTAAAAACTAGATGATTGGGGCCTGGGGAGGTGACTATGGGTAAAGTGTTTGCAAACAGTTGTATCTGAATTTGATTCCCAGCACCCATAAAAAAAAAATAAATAAATAAAAGTAAAAATAAACTGAATACTTGGCACCCCAGCCCTGGGGAAGCAGAGACAGAAAGACCCCTGGGGTCTTACTGGCCACCAGCTGAGCTCAACGGCAAACTTGAGGTTCAATTAGAGACCCTGTGTCAAAAGAACAAATGGAAAGTGATTGAGGAAATCACCAGACATTGACATCAGGCAAGCCTGAAACAAAGTATCAGGTACAGGCGCAGGAAGGGATGTATCACACAAAAAGGCCCCAGGGTGCAACAGTAAATCACAGGCAGGGCCAAGTGAAATCCAGAAACACTAAACTTTAGATTTGTTTTGTTTTTGTTGTTGTTTTTTCGAGACAAGGTTCCTCTGTGTAGCCCTGGCTGACCTGGACTCATGTAGCAGACCAGGCTGGCCTCGAATTCATAGGCATCCACCTGCCTCTGCCTCCTGAGTGCTGGGGCTAAAGGTGTGCACCACTGCACCCAGCTTGAACTTTATTTGCAAATGAAACAAAGGACCCTAACAGAAGGACTCAGAAGCAGACAGGGTGAATTCTCCACACTGCGTCTTTAAGCAAGAAAGGAAAGTCGCCTTAGAGAGCACTCTAGGAGAAAAGAGAGCTGAGATTCACACCTGGAACAGAGGCTGGAGGCTAGGCCCCTGCCTGCCTTAGTTGGTTCACACTTGTCATGGTGAGGAACATCTGATGTTACTAATCTCTTCCAGGCAAGGGGGCAGCAGCCCCTGCATTTTCTTATTTCTCAGCCACAAAGGCTTCTCCACTCTACTGGATGAAAGAGTAGCCAACCCAAAACTCCAAGTGGGCGTGGGAAAATGGTTGTGGCCTGGATACTACCCTCTACTTTTCACTGCAGCTGAGAACTGCCCATGGAAAACAAGAGACCGACTGCATGGGAGACAACAGGCGAGGGAGCTGCAGCAGATATGGGCAAACAATGGCTTTCAATCATTACTGAAGGCTGCTTTCTTTCTCATGTGTGGTTGGCAGAGACTTCAAGCAAAGGCCCCATACAAACTCAGCAGAGATATTCAAAACAAGGATATGCAAATCTCAATGGAGAAAAGCAGAGCCACTATCTCCATTACAGATGTTTATGGGAAAAGCTTTCTTAAATTGTAATTATCCTAGTCTAGTCAATTCAAATCTGCCATTCTAACATTTTGCTACTTAACACCTGTAGCTCTCAGTTTTCTGTTTCAGGTTCTGTAATTTTTTTTTAAGTGCTGAGGGTCAAACTCAGGATCCTGGGCATGCTGGACAAATGTACTGTTGTTGAGCTCTCTAGCTCAACACCTCAACTCTTACAAGAATGTTGGGAATGTTTAGTTTTCTGTTTGTCTGTTTGTTTTTTTTTTTTTATGAGACAGGGTTTCTCTGTGTAGCCCTGGCTGTCCTGGAATCGATTTGTAGACCAGGCTGGCCTTGAACTCACAGAGAACCACTGCCTCTGCCTCCCTGAGTGCTGGGATTACAGGCGTGTACCTCCGAACTTGGCTGGGAATGTTCACATTTTACAATTACTTACCAATGATTATTTCAGCAGCATTGATCAAAACAGGGGCAAATCTTGGCTGAGACAGGTTCCTACAAAGCAAAACTTCCGTTTAATTAATCTTATAAGCCTCAAAAACAGAAAAAAAAAAAATCCCTAAAACAAACAGTAATTGTTGCACCAGTACTCTATAAAGAACAGACTAAAATTAGATGTTTCTCTTGGGCAGGAGAGGTGGCTCTAACGTTAAGAGCACTTATCTGTTCTTCCAGAGGTCCTGAGTTCAACTCCCAGGTGGCTCATGACCACCTATCTATACTGGGATCTGATGCCCTCTCTGACATGCCAATATACATGCAGAACACTTAAATCAATATTTAAAAAAATAGGTCTCTCTCATTGGGTGATAATGAAGGGCATAAGCCACAAAATCCAAGCGAAGCCTACCTTATCAAAAAGTTAAGGACCCGGGTAATCTCCTTCTCATCCCGACCTGCAAGAGCGTTGGCGAGGACGCCTCTCCGACTCAGTTCCTTTATGATAGAAACTGTGACCTCTGGTGTCTTTATCACACAGCTAGGCTGGAAAAATGTGCAGAGTCAGTACAGCCAAGAAGACTGATAAGAAAAAGACCACTATCCTGCAATAAACTACCAAGCTTCTCTCCACAATCCCAAGTCAGACCCTCACTAAAATGGTTCCCCACATGCCTTTTCCCCTGACTTTAAATACAGGTCTCACTTTGCAGCCTTAGCTGGTCTTGAACTTTACTGTAGCCCACTGACCTCACACTTGTGATCTGTCTGCCTCAGCATCCCAAATGCTAGGATTAGCCACAACACTAAAGACTAAAATGATTATTACTTGCTTTTCACCAGCTAGGCAAGGCAGCATATACTTATAATCACAGTACTCGGAGACAAAGACAGGAAGATCCTGGGGCCCACTGGCCAGCCATTCCAGCAGCCCCATAACAGGCCCTGTCCTGCGTAGACTTTTTATCTCCTGGGCACAAGCCAAGGTCATCTGGGAAGAGGGAACTTCAGTTGAAACCTGCCTCCATTATACTGGCTTATGGACAGGTCTATGGGACACTTGCTTGATGTGGGGGCCCAGCTCACTGTGGGTGGTGCCACCCCTGGCAGGTGGTGGTTCTGGGTGGTACAAGAAAGCAGGCTGGGCACGCCATGCAGGGCAAGGCAGGGAGCAGTGTTCCTCCATGGTTTCTTCTTCAGTTCCTGCTTCCAGGTGTACGCCTTGAGCTCCTGGCCTGGCTTCCAACCTCACAATAATCTATGTAAACTGTAAGCTGAAAACCCTTTTTCTCCCTAAGTTGCTTCGAACATGGTCTTTACACAGCAACAAAAAGCAAACTAAGAGAGAATACATGCGTGCTGCCACACACACAAACAAAACTTAAAAGTTAAGTGAAAAAAAAAAAAATGCTTCTCACTCACCTCAAGGACTCTGTCAAGTGCCTTTGAGATCCGAAAACTTTTCAGATCCCTGTCATACCATTCTAGGTGTTTCTTTGCTGGCCTATTGATCATAATGTCGTCCTGAATGAAAAACCATGATTTATAGAGGAAGAAAATTAGCATCTATATAATTCCATTAAAAATAAATGTTTTCATAATTAAGTGATACATTTTAAAGTCAGGATGCTTTTACACTACACAACAAATAATGTTCCCATGTTCATATGCCAAATGACACAGTCTGCTCTCTTAATGTGCTCTTACACTTACGATTTTAACTTATATATATGCAAGTGTTTCTTACTGTGAGTACAATTACAATAAAAAAAAAAAAAAAAGAATTAAGGCAGGCAGTCTCACTGCATAGAAAGATGTGGAAACAAACCAGAGACACTAAAATCTAACCTTCACATCTCTGATGTACTCCTGGGCCAGTAAAACTTTATAACTCAGGCCCCTCTGACCCTAGGGAGACCTTATAGGCTTGTGCTGTTTAGAGGACCAAATCAGATAGTGGGTGACAGATACTATTTTGAAAAAGGAAAAGTACTATATTATTTCACGATTCAGGGTGTTAAGTAAATAGTCCGTGTTGCTCATTATTCTTCAATAACGTACTCTAGCAATCTGGAACCAACCTTGATGGGGGAAGGGCAAGAAACAAAATAAATATACATATTATGTGAATCATACTTTGCAGGAAATTCCAGGAACAGGTGGAATTGGGCCTTCCAAGAAATGTTACATTCTAAAAATGACAAAAGACATAATTACCCGTTGCTTCATGTAAAATTTTCCTTTAATAAAGGTTCTATATGCAGGCTTTCTTCTCCTTGTAAGAGACTCCTTCTTTGCTTCAGATTTCCGGTGTTTGACGCTCAGTATTCCATTGGTCATTCCTACAACTATTGTCTCATCTTCATGCTAATCAGAAAAAACAGTATTTTTAACCAACATTTTATAGTACCTTTACCTCAGAACAGTGTTTACATCATGTCTGCTACCTACCTTGTTACTCACAGGTCCATTCGATAAGGACACTCCTGACAATGATCTATCCAGAATGCTATAGCAAAAATCACCTTTTCCTTCAGGGTACCACTATCCTGACAGACCTTCTTATCCTCATTCAGCATTGCCAGTGAAGTGTGTGTGTGATGGTAACACTGATGACAGCTGATCATGCTAAGAAGATGCTAATGGCATGCTGACAAGTTTCAAAGTAACTTCTATGTTCTCTGAATACAAAAAGGACTAGCAGGCTCCCCACAATGTCTTCTTTTTATTTTTTCTCTCTGGGTTGAGATTTCCATATAAAATATTCAAATATCCTCTTGGTGAAATGTGGCTCCTTGTGAAATCTGACAGTGACTATTCCAGAAAGCATAGTGCTCACTCTGCTGCTCCTGCCCTCTTGACCTTTTCTGACGACAATCCGCCTTTCTCAAGCTCTGTAACACCCTTCAGTTTGTTGAAGGAAGAGGTAAAAACTTCCTAGTCCAGCCTAGCTGTCAACATTAACAGCAGTCAGGGCCACCAAGTATGAATTCATGTAGTTACCAGAAAACATCACATCCTAGCAACTATCTTGACTCAAACAGCTAACGGGCCTTATTTAAGTCCAAAGATAAACCCCAAAACATTCCGCTTTACTTTTACATCATAGCAAGGTTTGTAACAACTTGAAAAGAGGTGAAATTACTTACAGAAAGTGCCAGACTCAAGATTGAAGCTGCGTAGTCAAAGCTGTGGACGACTTTATAGGAAGTGGTGCTGTAGACTTTAACTTTTCTAGTGGAAGAAAGAAAGCTCTATCAGGTAAAATATGAGGTTTCTGTTTTTAGCAAACTACAAGAAGATACAGTTTACACAGTCCAGAGAAAACACTGAAATAATATTAACCATGAAGTACTTCATTACTGAGTTTCTTGAAAAACTATGTTCTAGCACTAACCAGGTGTGAATAAAGACTGACTGCGCATTTATGAAAAACACCAAAAGACGGACTGTGAACCAATGTCATCTGAAGGTAAAACAGGGGAGTGAGAGCAAAGGATCGAGAAGTACACACAGTAAGCCACAGCAGGGCTTCCAAGCCCAGCAGAGCCCTCCCCTGGGGTACAACAGCAGCAGCCCTGACCTCCACCCCTGCACAGCAACAACACTACAACAACACTACACTATAAAAGCAGGGAGGAAATGACAGCCTACACACAAAACAACTAACAATAAAAAGTAAGTTCTACACCCTATCAGTACTGGCTGCATGTGGCTACTGAGCCCTTGCCATGTACCTTCAGAAAACTACAGAAACTTTTATAAAGTATTATATTATGGTGTACATTTTAGAGACAAAATTCATTTCTAGTATCTTACTAAGTAAACTGATTACATGTTGAAATGACAACTTGTATATTATACTTTATTTTTATGTTAGATAATGGACTATTTAAATGTGTTACTAAAAGCAATTTTTAGTTTTTTAACATCTTTTAATGCAGTTACTAAAGCATTTAAAATTACACATGCAGCCTGTATTATGAGTTTAGTTGACAACAGTTTTAGAACATCAAAAGTACAATACTTGACTATTTAAATAACTCTTCAGCACTGGCGATAGAGCTAAGGGCCTTGAACATGCTAAGTAAGCACTCTAGCCACTGGGCTATGGCCTCGGTGTTCTAAAAATCTATTTCAATCATAGTACTTGCACCACATTAATTCAAGAAATAGCCATAGGAGGTTTTAATGATTTTTTTTGCTTGCTTTGTTTTTGAGACAGGATCTTTCTATAGGCCTAGCTGTCCTGTAACTCACTATGTAGACCAAGCTGGCCTCTGGCTCCCAAGTGCTAGGATTAAAGAATAGGGCAACAGTCACAGATGAGGTTTTAAATTTTAAAGAATGTTTAAAATTTTAAAGAATAAAATATATCTTCAGAATAAAATTTTCAAAACATGTATGTTTACAAAAAATGACTTTAAAAGAAACTACAGGAAAAATAGTCTATTTCAAAAGACTATTTAAGTGTACAAGGTAAAACAAAGAGATAAATTATTTCTGGGGAAAAACAAGTAGTTATATATAAATAAAAAGTCAAACTATTCCAAATCAATACTTTTGTTTATCCTCTGTGAAAACCACTAGAACATCTTTTATTACAAATATTGCTAAAATAACTCAACTTCTCAAGTAGAAAATGCTAACAATGATGAAAAAGAAAAATAGAATGCTACCTATCCAGTGAGCCGGAGAGTAACCTCTGTCCAGAGCTGCTCAGACACAAACATGTCACAGTTTTGTGATGATTTTTCAAAGACACAAGCAACTGTCCTCCTTTTAGCATGTCCCAGACTTTAACGTAACGGCCTCCTGTGGAAAGAAATGACCACTGCTTTGATATTCTGCCTATCTGCTCACAGTGATGAGGATCTGGGAAGCACTCCTCTCTGCAGCTCCCCAGTGTGGCTGCTGAGTGAGGCTTCCCTTAATGCTGGCTCCACCCACCCCTGCCTGAGTGCCCCTTAGGAGCCCTCACTCAATGGCTGTTACCACGACTAAGTTGCTGCTTATTTTAGGTACAGCAAAACAAACAGGGAACTGAAAATATTTTAAAAGAGTATAATGAATTTGCTGGAAGAAATGCTGAGCCTGCAAGATGGCTCATCGGGTAACAGTGCTTCCCACCAAGCCTGACGCCTTGACCCCTGGGACCCACATAGCAGGAGCCGGCTGACTCCTTAAAGTTGCCTTTTGAACCCCACCCATGCACATATGCATGTGTGCAAGAGGGCGATCGTGCGCACACATACGCATTTTAAAAAATGTAAGGAGTACTGTACAGCTATGGAGACCAATAATGTAGATACTGTTTCCTATAAATCTTATGAGCCCCTGCAAAGCAAAATCACTTCCCAGTAATTTTACTCTAAGAATCAGGAAGATCCTTAATAGATAATTTAATCATATGATTGAAAGAATGTATTTTTAGGAGCTAGAGAAATGGCTTGGCAGTTAAAAGCACTTGCTGCTCTTGCACAGGACCTGGGTTCAATTCCCAGCACCCACATGGGAACTCACAACCATGCATAAATCGAGTCCCAGAGGACCTGACACCCTCTTCTGCCCTTCGAAGTCACTAAATGATGTGGTACACAGACATACATGCAGGTGGACCACCTATACACATGAAATAAATTGCAAATGTTTTCAAGAAAATACCAAGTAAAAGTCTAAGAAGAGTGCATGGGAGAATAACATTCTCATCTGACCTGTTTGAGACCCTGGGCCAACGCTCAACTCACAATGTCCTTCCCATGTGAGTGTGGCATTTAGGAGAAGGGTCAGTTTGCAGTGCCTCATCTAACACAACTCCTCCTTCTCCAGGCACAGGGGTATTAAGGGCCTGTCTGAGGGCACACGAACAGCTGATGGCAGAGCAGACATCAGCGGACAGATTTCCATCCTCCCCATTCTACTTGGTTCCATTTCCACTTCTCAAAACAACCAGACAAAGAGACCAACAATGACATAAAAAATTAAATAAAATAGATATCAGAAAATGTACAAAAAATTTAAAGAAAAATAAAACTGTAAAGCTATCGAGTGCCAAGAAAATATATTCTTCTGATATCAACAATTTCGCTTTATTGATAAATGAAAAGTCAAACTACTTCTTCCATTATGATTATAAAAACTCATTCCAGTAAACACATTCATACACCTTAACTCCACTTTGATGGAAATTCATGGAGGACTATTTAATTCTACATTATGTCCTCTCCAGCATATGTGCTGTTTGCTAAACAGGAGCTTGTCAAGAGAAAGGAGACCAACATGACTCCTGAGAAGACCTGAGAAGATTGCCAGAGCTACCCAGTTTTCTTAGCTGGAATAACAGAAGGGGACTCAGCAGACTTATGCATCAGATGGGGCATGTACACAATCTCTTAAGGTCTCACGTTCTAGGACTTCAGGCCTGCCACTCACCATGTTGCCTTAGACCAACTAGATGATGCTTTCATTTATTTACTTAACTGTAAAATAGACCTCTAACTACCTGGAAGGACTATGTAGGGCATTAGAGACATGCAAACAGCAGTGCAGGGTCAGTGCAGGTCACACACAGTCAAGGACAACTACTAGCTCACCCCACTGAACACCTAAGCAGAAACTCGGATCTGTGATTCAGGTAAACAGTAACAGTTTACAAACGGCAACTGATGGGAAAATGTGCTCTATGTGAGACCAACAATGGTGGTGAAGGCCCTTTTGAGAGCAGTACCTGCAGACACTAGGAGCCCTCCGGAGGGGAAAAGCAGGGCGCTCTCCACAGGCTGCCCATGCTCCACGCAGAGCACGCTTTTACTCGTCCGGGCGTCAAACATCCTCACAGTGTGATCATAGGACCCTGAAACGCCAACGTTGACATTATGGGAATTTTGCTCTTTAACACAATGAGAACTTTGTCTAGCCACACATGATGATTAGAAGGAGAAAAACAAGATATTCTGAAAAGGCACAAATTCGTAAGTCAGTTCGCCCAAGCCTTCTGCTCCTACTGTTTCTGAAGCAAGGTAAACTACACAGAATGTAACCAGCTCAGACCTTCAGACTCCTGGCACCATGTCATTGCCTGAGAATCTGTACAGGCGCCCACACAAACTGAGCTGCACCTGGAGTCTGCAGCTGCTGCAGCTCTGGTAACCAGGGGACATAAGCGGGGACCTAATATCTATTCCAAGACAGCCTGAAGGAATTCTCAAACACATTTAGAGGACAACAAAACCCACTATTATGGGGGGGGGGGGTACCTGACTTCCATTAAAACCATATTTTATTTTTTGATGATGATGGGAACCCAGGATCTCATACATACCAGGCCAGTGCTCTACCACTGACTCCCACCCCCAGCTCCAATAACAAACATTTAAAGCCCTCCATCCCAAAAGAATCCACAGATGACATGGAAAGAGATCACCAACCTGTTACAAAAAGGTCTGGGTTTAGTTTGCTAGCACAGCCACACCTCACATAATCAGAATGTTCTTTGAACGTCAGAATTTCCTTGGAGTTTGGAATATCCCATAATTTAACTGTATAATCATCAGCTCCAGAGACCACATGATATCTGTCTGCTGTAAAATCTACTGTATGAACTGCTCTGCAAGATCAAAAGACAAAAGATTATAAACCAAGGGAAAAACTGTATTGCTTACATCTTCTAACATAAAATGTTCCTTCCCAAATTTACACAAAACAAAACAAAAAAACCTCAGGCCAGCATGATGGCTCACTGGATAAAGGCACCTGCTGCCAAACCTGACCCCAAGTTTTATCTCTGGAATCTCCATGGTGAAAGGAGAGAACCAACTCTTGAATGTTGTCCTCTGACTTCCACATACTGCATGGATGTACATACCCAAACACACACACAAACAATAAGTAAATAAATACTCAATTTCAGAAAATAGAAAATGTTTGTGGAAGAAAAAATAAAAGGGAAAACCTTTAAAACAGGCGTTTATCCTTAAGCTGATCTGAAATGTATTACTATGTTACTATTGGGTTAGCAAAAATATTAAGTAACATCCTTACAATTATATTTTCTAGAATGCTAGTAATTAATGAAATTAAGTTCTAAATGTTATAATAAAAGTTTTTATCTATTTACTTTTTTTACTTATTTTATGGGTATGGCATTTTATCTGCTGGTGTGTGTCTGTCACTACAAGCATGCCTGGTACCCTCAGAAGTCCTGGGACTGGGCTCACAGACGGCTGTGGAGCACCATCCCTGCTGGGAACTGCACCTCTTGCTCTTAACCACTGAGCCATCTCTCCAGCTCTACACAGGCACTTTTGGAAAAAAACTAACAAAGAGCTCTTTCAAGGACTTCATTCAGAAAGACCTGCCACACAGTAGAATCTCATTAAAAGAGTTTCTGCTCTTGAGTGTTTCAGTGATGTGTATAAACATCTTAAGTTTCCAATTAAAAACAAACAAAACACTGATATTTTAAATCAGCAGCAGATTTTCAGCAATGACTTTAGTAACCCTGAAACAAAAGTTAGAAAACTGAATCTATCCAAGGGCAAATATCAAAAATCAAAGAAAAGAAAGCCAATGCGACATCAGTATAAGAGGAGCTGAGAGAGCTGGGCCTGAGGAACCCTCAGGAGAGCCATAAGGCCGCATTGAGGCCAGTGGAGTCACATACTCAACTGCGCACATCCCACCAAAGCTCTCCTAGACAACCAGACACTTTTTACATCACACATGATTCCAGAGAATCACAAGCTCTGTAAACTGGAAGGTGGAACTTAGGTTAGGTTCTTTGAGAACAACAGAAAACAAAGTGTATACAGGGATAATCTCACAACTAATAGGTGTTCATAAAAAGCAGAGAGCCAGAGCTCTCGACAGAAATACAACACATTAAAACAAAAACACATCAAACTGGCTCTTACTTTGTGTGCCCTTCAAACTGCCTGAGGGGCGCCCTCCCACTTATGTCAAAAAGTTGAACTACACCATCTTCACTGCCAGCGACAAGCAATTGACCATCCTGTCGAAAAGTAGCACAGTAGGCTGTGTCCTTAAAACGGGAAAAGGTTTTTACAGGTTCTTGAGAGTACCGGCCATAAATGTGAATCTGTAAGATAAAAAAACCAGTATTTCACTAGGTGGCTCACCGGTAAACCCTGTGACAAGAACAAAGACGTTCACCATTATACTTACTCTTGAAGAAGCTGTGACGGCGTAGTTATATGGAGGCTGAGGAGAAAAGTCTACTTTGGACACTGCACCAAATTCCTTAATCTGAACAGGGGTCTTAATGAAAAACAAGAGAGTATTGGCAGAGTTAAAAAGTGAGCCATCCTTAAGCATTATGCCATTTCCTACAATGTTTCCTTTTGTCCTCAGTACTCATTAGTAGGTTGTATTTATATGGAAATATGAGGGAAAAGAGGAAAGAGAAAGGGTAAAGCAAAACACAGTCCGCTGTCCATCCCCCAGACTATCCCTGTTGACAATACAGAAAATAGGCACGGCTGGAAAGGCACACCCCATTGTCCCTTCAGCTGCTGGCTTTACTCTGAGTCCCAACAAGAAGAAAAGGTATGCCTATACTAGCATCCATTCAACCATGATTCTAAGGAAAAGATGATCAGTGTAAACAGGTCTATATCTGTTTTCCGCAACTAAGCCACCTTAGCAATTGTTGCAGATCACCAATAAATTGACCATCCATGTTTATAAAGTTACTTCATAATTTATTGAGCCAATTCACATCCAATGGACATATTTTTCAAGAATTCCAATATTCCATTAGATACGTCAGTTAACACTTTCACGTCTTAGCAAATTCTTGAAAGTTAAGTTTTGTTTCAAGTGATGAGTACAAGGCCCAAAAAAATATGCTTTTAAAAAATCATTGATACTGTCAATTTCCTTCCTCAATTTTTTTTATTTACGTCAATATAACAGAAAAAAAAAAACAGTATACAAACTGTGCTCTTTTTTTTATCTTATTCATTTGTATCTATGTGTTTGTGTGTATCTCCATGTCTAAATGTGTGAAATGTGTGTGAAATGCCTGCTGAGGCCTGAAAAAGGTACTAGATCCTCTGGAACTGGAGCTAAAGGCAACTGTAAGCTGCCCAATGTGGGAGCTGGGAACTGAACCAGGTCCTCTAGAGGTTAAGAGCACTGTCTGCTCTTCCAAAGTTCCTGAGTTCAATTACCAGCAACCACATGGTGGCTCATAATCTGGTGTGTAGGCATACATGCAGGAAGAGTACTGTATAAATTATAAATAATACATAAATCTAGAAAGAAAGAAAGAAAGAAAGAAAGAAAGAAAGAAAGAAAGAAAGAAAGAAAGAAGAGCAGCAAGTGTCTTAATTTTATGTAGCTGAGATTCCCCTTAAACTCCCGGAGTACCTGAAGATGACCCTGAACTTAACATCTGCCTCCACCGCTCAAGTGCGAGATTACGGGCATGTACCACTAGATAGATTTGTATAAGGGCTCGAGACTGAACCCAGAGTCTCATGCACGCCAGGCAAGCACTCTGCCAACTGAGCTACATCCGTTTTAATTGGTGAGTAAAGCTCAGTCTCTTTTTATATCTCATTTTCCATAAACCTCCTAATCCCAAACTATTTCCAGCTTTCTAGTTTTCAATATTAAAAAAATATATATATTAATCATTGTAAACATTATTAGGTATACAGAAAAGCTAATTTCAGAGTAGGAAAATTCAAGTCTTCCTGCATACAAGATACAAGTTTTATAGTTTCATTTGCCATTACACATGCTCTGTGTTAAGCATCTACATGGGTAACATAATGAAGTAGGGTAGGCTTTCACATGAAAGTCCAAGATAAGACAGATAACAAACCATTAGTTTTAGTTAATGGTTCTGCCAGCATGAGCAGGAGAAGCTAACATAAATGGATAAAGACATGTCCAAATTCCTTCCTCCCTCATTTCCTCACATCATTTACCTTATAGTTGTTCCAGTACAGGGTGTCTTGGGTGATTTTCTCACCAAGTACAGGATACGTCTGAATTGCTACAGGTTTATACCCAGCCATGGTTCCATATAACTGCACTGATGCCCAGGGTCAATAATCTGAAACCAATTTCAGAATAACTGCAACGACTGCCTTACGTCTGAAAAAAAAAAAAAAAAACAAATTTTAAAACACATCCTGTTTATAAACTTTTACATACAGGTATGACTTTCATTCCACTTTCTTTCAAAAGGCTGTGACCAATAAAACCATTTCATTGAAATCCCAGAAGAGGCACTTGAAGAATACAGATCTGGGGTAGCATATTGCACAGTCTGTGCATACAGGCTGTACATGTATGTTCTTAAACCTCCTAGAACTGGCTGCAACACTTGAGAATAAATATGACTCAACCTTCCAGTAGCTGAACCAGAAAAGCATGCAGGGCTAGAATATTTGTTTTCTTGACTAAGAAAATAATATAGAACTATAAATACAAAGTTATCTCTATAGACTTAACTTCCTAAAAGACAAAAGGCGCCAAGAAGAAAGGAGCACAAAGTTAATATTTTCACATAGAAGTTTACAATGAAATTAGAAATAATGTTCTGACCTAAGACATAAAATTAAATGTCAAAAGGTTTAAACTGTTGGAAAGAAACTGAAATAGAGGAAACCTAAAGTGGCAGAATAAGAAAAAACGTTAATTAAAGCTCTTAACATGTAATGAAATAAAAAAACATCTTCCCAGAAGCATTCAATTCAAGATAGTCAATGATTCCAGGGATGTGACTCTCTATCTATTCTAAAAAGCCTGCAAAGATGACATTATACCATAAAACAATCAATATGACATATTCTAACTGCTATTATGATGAAGCAAATCAAGACTCAAGGGAGAAACTTTGCTTTTCAAACACCTAAAATACGCAAAGTACTGGGAATACAAGCACAATAAATAGACATGATCTATAATTTCAAATAATCAAAATGACTGAGTCTATTAGGAATCTAGGCTCAGCTTTCCTTCTCATTCCTATGACTCAGAAAAGTATCAAAACTTTATCTCTCAAATATTTCTTTGTATGCAGTGTGTGTGTGCCAGAGACAGAGACTCTTTCTCTTTGGTGCCACATCTTATTTCCTCAGACAGTATAAGGTCTCTCATTAAACATGAAACTCACCAACTGTCAATAATGCCTAGCTAGTGAGCCTGACTAGTAAGCCTGGGACATCCTTCTGCCTCTGACTCCCAACACTTGGATTATAGGCACACTTGCCCAAGCTCCCCTTTCCACCTCAGTGCTGGAGATTTTGGTCCTCTATATCCACCAAGACATCTTCCCAGCCTTTAACCTTTCACATATTTCTAAACTTTAAGTCTACTTAACCCTAGTTCAATTACCTTAACCTCTGTCGTTTTGACTACTGAAATAAAAGCAATACCATTTGAAAATCTACCTGGACTCCCACATTCACCTTCCAAATAGTTAACAATGTTGCTACAAAACCCAACATTGCCCAGAAAACGAAGCCTGAGCGCCTTAGCATGCAAGGTCCACTTTGCCCTGGCCCGTAAGATTCACCTCTTGCTATTACCAACTGTTTGTAGTTCACATCCTACTCATTCTTGCTTCTACATGGGCTCTCGGCCAGAAATGCCCTTTCTCCATCTACTTCCTATTTAGAGTCACCACAGGAAGTCACACTGTCCCTCAGAAATCTCTCTGCCTTCTGAGACCGGGCACTCTCTCCTACGCTCTTATTTGCCTCAATTTCTGCCACTGCACACTATTACACTGCATTGTAATAATCTCCTTTTCCAGGTAAACTGAACAATACATTGGAAGTATTTGTTTGCTCAAATAATGACCTTAAAAAAAAAAAAAAAAGGAAAGGAAACATCACGCAAATTCCTACAGTTAAATCAAAACCAATACTAGTTTATAATAAGAACAATGCTATGCTGTTCACAAATACTTTCCATCAAGGGCCAGATAGTAAGTATTTTAGGCTTGGCCAACCAACAGGCAAACTAGAAGACATTCTATCGTTAATTCTACCTGGAAAAAGTGTGCCATTTCAGCGGGGTCTCTAAGCATAACGTGACACGATGGGCATAAAAGGAGTAGAGCGGAGTGTGGAGGGAGACGAATACCCGGCTATACTTGCATCACTAAGCCAGAACTCTGTCCTTGGCCTTGGAGAAGAGCGGATTGCTCCTGGGGCTGACAGCAGTGGCTAGGAAAGCGACTACAAAGGAGCAAAGCCTGGGTCGAAATTAAATCGCAAGGACCCTCGGAGGCAGGCAAGTTCAGTGATCAGCCTGGGAAGCCCCAGAGCAACAAGTCCAGCATGTGTCAGAGTTCACAGTGAGGCCTGAGCAGAGCCTGGGCCGCCACCGGGAGCCGCCATCGCCTACCTCCGCGGGGCCCCGAGGGTCCGCCGAGGCACCCGGATTCCCAGGACGACTCCCCAGACCTCGCCAGCTCCCTACAAGCGGATCTCTCTGAAGCACTTGCTCAAAATCACGCGGACACGCCAGTAGCCGGAAACGCGGAGGCGCAGGGGAGCGTCGCTGGAAGATGACGTTGGCGCATGTGCAGGAACAGCACGCAACCAGGAACTACAGGAAAGCGCCGGGGTGGACGCAGCCGTCGGGGAGGGGCCTCGGGCCTTCTGGTGACCCGGAATTCGGTGACCCTTCGTTCTCCGAGGGCTTGGGCTGCGGAGCGCTGGGAAATCAAAAGGAAAGCCCTGAAAGTGGACTCGGCTTCGCCGAACGCCCTAGCCTTTTTCCGGAAGAAGAAAACAATAGGAAGTGACGTCGCGGGCCGAAGCGGGCGGGGCTGGAGAACCGGGCCCGAGCTTCCCCGGTGCCCTGGGGAGGGCCGGAGCAGCCAGCCCCAGTGCCCGGGCCCGCTCCCCGCGCCGGACCGGCTTTCCGCCCGCGGCGGCAGGGCGGGCACGCCCACCCGGACACCTGTCGCCCGAGAGACGGCTTTCGCGTTTCATAGCCCCTTTCTCCCCTCGTGGGACAATTTCAAGAGTTAGGAAAGACGCGGAACCTCTGCGATTAGCTGGGGGCTGTGCCCATCGCCTGCGTTAGTCTCTCCCTTCCCGGGGCTCTGGCAGGTGAGCCTACCCACCCTTTCTCTTAACTCTTTCTCGTCGTCTCTGTAATTCATTTCTCCCTCCCCTCTGCTTCAGGTTTTGGCGTATCAGCAGTCTTTGCTTCTCTCTAGAGTCCAGTCTAGATAAGCGTTCCCTCTACATTTGCTGTTCTCCCTTCATAGACTGGTAATTCAGTCTATTGAAACATTGGCTTGTGTAGGGGCCGCAAAGAACATTACAGGTGACTAAATAACTGAGTCTCGGGAAGCTCATGATTTGTGTGTCCAGCACATCTAATCAGTATAAGTTAAGAATAAATTACCAGATCCGATTAGAAAATCTGAGGAAGAAATGTAAAAAATTTGAAATTAAGATCATAAAATATCAATGGGGCATCAAACAGGTTTAGTATGCTCTGGCTGCCAAGAGTAGTCTCAGCCAGATGAGGTGGTGTACACCTTTAATCCCACACTCCAGATGCAAAGGCAGGCATATCACTGTGCTCTGGGCCAGCCTGGTCATAGCGAGCTTGAGGTGCGACCTTGTCTCAAAAGAAAAAAAAAAAAAAAGTCTCCATCCGCCAATTTTTTCCGTTTAATGGGAGCTTGAAAGGAAGCTTTCAAGAGAATTTCCAAGGGTTTAAAAAACACAGGGAGCTAGGGGGAGGTTGGAGGGGCTGCACGCGACCCACCGAGAAGAAATGCTTCTTCCCATGGAAACAGTTCACACTCTGCACCTCTGTCTCTCATTGAATCCCTGAACTTTGCTCCTGCTGCCTGCTGACTGTTATGGGATACTTTCTGTGACTGTAGTGTGTCTTCATCTCTCCCGTGGAAATTTTGGATCCTTCTGTTGCTGCTTATTTGCCCACCACAGTGACGGAGTTGGTAGGGCAGGATCACGTTTCTCAGGATTCAGGAGCTTTTTTTCGATGAGATGAATATAATTACCTGCCTATTCTATTCAGATGATTGTAATAAGGATCAATCTTTTTTTTTTTAAGAATTGTTTGAGATAGGGTCTCAATTATGTAGTTCTGACTGTCCTAGAACTTGCTGGATGTATGCTAGCCTCAAACTCAGAGATCTGAATGCTGAGATTAAAGGCACTCGATACCACATCTGACTTGTATAATCTATGTGTATGTTTTCAGGGCATTACTACTCAGTATTGCATAAAGAGTTGGTGTGCTTGTTTGGAGAAGGCTGTTCTGCTGTCTAGTGCTCCACCACACCCAACAGGATCAGTCTTTTGAAATAGTTTTAAAACCCTGCCAATTCATTGTACTCATTTATTTGTTTGTTTATTACAATTATTCACTTTGTATCCCACCTGCAGCCCCCTCCCATTCCCACCCACCCTCCCTCACTGATCAGCACACGCTCAGTAACCTTTCAAAATATCCAAGATGCAAAGTACTGTCAAATGGCAAAAATTAACTAGATGTTCATTTCTTCCTGTTTCAAGTGCCTCTGTGCTTGGGATTGTCACATTTCCTGTGATACCAGTCTGTAATCTGCATATTTTATTTTTTATTACAACTTACATCAAGTTGTTTGTGCTTACTCCGAACAGAAGCTGATAAATACACTTTAATTCTTCCAAAACTAAATTTTGTTGGGCTCAGTGGGGAGTCACTTGCTGCCAAGCCTGAAGACTTGAGTTTAGTTCCTGAGTCACACATAATGGAAGAGAAAACCAGCCCCTGAAATTTGTCTTTTGACTTGTACGTGCATGCTGTGGCCTATGTGTTCCCTCACACATGCAAACAAAATAAACAAGTGTAATAACTGCTTTTTAAAATAAATTGTGTAAAATGCTTCACTATCTGAATCATGGGTGAACACAGTGTAAATCACCTTGGCTATAAGTTGGTTGTGTCTCAGCTCACACTGGCAGCCACTTAGAGAAACAGCATTTTTCTTTTTTTGTTTTTTTGAGACAGGGTTTCTCTGTGTCACCTTGGCTGTCCTGGATTCACTTTGCAGACCAAGATGGATTTGAACTCACAAGAGATCCACCTGCCTCTTCCTCCCCAGCACTGGGATTAAAGGTGTGTCCTGCTACGTCCAGCAGAAACAGCATATTTTAAAATGAATCTCAATACTTTAACATAAAAGTTTATTTTCTTTGGTAGCTGATCTTTAAACATCTGGCAATAGTCAGATATAGGAAAGGGGAGAACCCAACCGAACTGTTGGAATGTAATGTTGGGGCTGTGCTGCGTTTTCTTCATCCTTTTCCAGGATCCTGTAAACTAATGGCAGTATCTCTTTATAAATGAGAATTTCTCAAGTTTGGTAACATGTACATATCACGGAGCTAATAAAGGACAAAGCTTGGGTTCATAGGCAGGTCACCTACCTCTGAATATTGTCTACTTTTTATTATGTAGGGACACTACAAGAAAACTGTTTGGATGTGTAGTTGAAAATGATGGCATGAATACTTTTTTATTTTTCCAAAACAGGGTTTCTCTATGTAGCCTTGGCTGTCCTAGACTCACTCTATAGACCAGGCTGACCTGGAACTCACCAAGATCCACCTGGCTCTGTCTCCCCGAGTGCTGGATCACAGGCATGGGCCACCACACCCACTACGTGAAAACGTTTATATAAGTTAATATGCTATCTTAAATTTTCTAATTTTTTTCCTTTCAGATATTTTAATATATCAACTCAAAAAATATACTGGATAATATCCTTGAAAACCAAAGATGAAATCATGAGGAAATGTTCTAATTATTGAAAGCATGGCTACACCTGCTAATTTGGACATTGGGGCCCAGCTGACTGTGGAAGAGTGTCCCAGCAGCTATAGTCTTCCTGGCATGCCAGACATCAAAATAGAGCACCAGCTGGACCCAAACTCAGGAGAAGGATCGGCTCAGGGTGCTGCCATGGGAATGAAGTTCATATTGCCAAACCGATTTGATATGAACGTGTGTTCTCGATTTGTGAAGTCCTTAAATGAAGAGGATAGTAAAAACATTCAAGATCAAGTTAACTCTGACTTGGAGGTGGCATCTGTCTTATTTAAAGGTTGAAAGTTATGGTACAACTCCCTATATTCACTTTCATTTGGTTGATTTCATTCTGTTTTTTTTTCTATCATGAGATTTAGACTTGAGATATAGCTTGAAAGTCGTCCTTTAGAAGGATTTTCTAGAATCTCACAAAATTTAAAAGCAAATACTCTTGTCTAAGCTGGGTGTAGTGGTTCATGCCTTTAGTTTGTCCCAGCACTTGGAAGACAGAGGAAAGTTAGTTCAAGGCTAGCCTGATCAACATAGCGAGTTCCAGGCCTCCCAGCTCTCAAACACATCGTGAGACCCTATCTCAATAAATAAATAGCCAGCCATTCTTATCTGCATAGTGAGTTCCAGGCCATCCAGGGATACATAGTGAGACCCTATCTCAGATAGATAGATAGATAGATAGATAGATAGATAGATAGATAGATAGATAGATAGATAGATAGATAAATAGAGTCTTTGCCTGATCTTTATTATGGACCCTATCTCAAATAGATAGATAGATAGATAGATAGATAGATAGATAGATAGATAGATA